CCACGCTCGTTCGGGCACCACCACCAAGTGAAAGTGACGCTTCAGCCATCGCCGGCGGCGGCGCAGCATTCCGACGATGGCCGGACGAGCGGGGAACTCCGGGCGCTGGATTGTAACCTCAATTCCCTCTGTGATCACATTCAGATGGAGGGTTTCAATTCCGGCGCCTTCTCCGATGTCGTCGTTCATGCTATGGGCTCCACATATCACCTCCACCGGCTTATCCTCTCTCGCAGCTCCTACTTCAGGTTTTGCTCCCCACTGCTCTCTCAACCGTTTGTCTCAATTGGGTTATGTTTGTAGCTGTCATGGTCTATGGAACAGTGGGTGGAAACGTGAGAAGTTCCGATTAGGAGGAAATGGGAATTTATTTGAACTGGTACTCCTGCGTATATGACCAGGAATTCAGTTAAAGGATGCTTGGGATGCCAGAAGTTTCGAACTTGTCTTCTGGATACTACCCGGTTGTTTGAATGTAGTGCAAAGCTGGAGTGCTAGTAGTCAAGTATGGAGAACTGAATGTTGTATATCCATTTTCTGAGTTATACGAATTAAGGGCTGATTTGGTAGCTTCGTTCCTGATTGGATAGAAATGCATGTTGTTACTCTCGGTTTGAAGTTTATATAACTTTTGATTGTGATGCTACTGGCAGGAACATGCTACATGGTCCTTGGAAAGAAGCGAGTTCTCCTGTTGTGAACTTGAATGTAGATGATAAGAATGTAAATGCTGATGCAATTGCCGCTGCCTTGGCTTATTTGTACGGGCATCATCCAAAGCTTAACGACAGCAATGCGTTTCGTGTCCTGGCAGCTGCTTCATTTCTTGACCTCCAGGTATTAATTAATGTGTTATAGAAGGCAAGTTAGATCTCACATTTCCTTAACCCAAACTTCAGAAAAAGTTCCCGAATAGAAGAAAAAGTACAAACATACACACCATAAGTGTCCCGTTGTGAACTTCTTTGGGTTTGTGATCTCTGTCGGTCTTACTTTGGATGTGTAACGAATCATGATTTATGTGCAGGATTTATGTGCAATATGTACAGACTTCATCATCTCTGAACTTTGGAGTTCAAACTTCTTGGCGTATCAGGTTCAAATGCTCTCACATTGTATTACACATTACCATTCTTCATTTTTTCTTCTTCTAGATATGGAGACACATGTTCATGCGCTTCAGGTATTTGCTGAGAGCCAAGATTATGGATCATATGGAGAAAAGGTAAGGAATGCTTGCTGGGGATATCTTTGTCAAAGTGGAGCCGTGGAACTGAAAGAGGTAAAATACTAAAATGTCTAGGGCACGAGCCTTTTGGGTTTGAGGCCCTCAAGCAAGTAGTTGACTTGTGGTATTGTTTGTAAAAAGAGTGGTGAAAAGGGCAATAGGGCAAGGGAACAAAGCAGGACGCTAGCAGTAATTCCTTATTTTAATGAGGCAGTTCTAATTTGTTTCCTCTGCATTCTTTTTAGGTGCTTCCAAAACTTTCCCCTCAAACTCTGCATGCCTTGTTGACATCTGATGAACTGTGGGTAGTCAGTGAAGAGAAACGGTAAGGGATATTAGTAACAGAATAAGTTCCTTTTCATATCTTGTAGTGTGTTTAGTTGGCTAACTTGTTTCTTTCTTGTTCAAAGGTATGAACTAGCACTGTACACACTTCTGGCAAAAGGTACTTTTAGTCAGACGGAAAGTTCAGACCAAGGCAGATCAAGTACCGAAATACGTATGGGTATGCACACTGATTCATCCAAATTGAAGGGCAAAGAATCGATTGGTAGCAGCACTAAGAGTTTGGAACCAGGACTTGGACGCTTGAGTTTGAAAGATGACCTAGAAGTTCAAAATATGGCACACAATCTTCTGGTAGATCTTGTTGAGTGCGAGGTCGACTTTCAGGCAAGGCTTGCTGAATCCAAACTAGGGCCACGGGTTTCATTTTCACAAGCTAACATGGGAATGGGATCTATACCGTCTTGCAGCATCTCACAATCATCTCCCGTGGGCAACTCCTTTTCAGAAATAAATGGAAATACAACCTCATGCTCTTTCCTTGAGATGCCCATGGGTGTTGGGGCAAGTGAATTTTCTACGGAGGGTCCTTCTGGGGACGGGTCGTACCAGTTGAATAACAACAATTGGCTTGGAAGTGACCAATCTGGGAATGTCCCTTCAGTGGATCCTTCTTGTAGCGGGCTTATGGTTAACGATTGGGGACGATGTGGCATGACTTCCCTTTCATGGGGCGGAAGAGTTGTGGGTAAAAGGCCAGTCAAGAGTTATGCTAAAGGGAATTGTGGTGTTCATGGGGAGGACTATGATACATTTGTTAACATATTTGAAGGTGGCTCTCTTCTGTATTGCAATATGTCGTTTGAGGCACTTTTGAGCGTAAGAAAGCAGCTTGAGGAGTTAGGCTTTCCATGCAAAGCAGTCAACGATGCCCTTTGGCTGCAGGTTTGTTACTGGAATGATTTGATTTAAAGATATTAAAATGGAAGTTTTTAACTTTATCCATTTTTCGGCTAACTGCCTTCGTAGTTATTCTTACCTCTTGCATTTTAATTTGAGGGCAAGATCAATAAATGTTACCATTTGCTTTCTTTCATTACAATGTGCTATGAGTGTATCCCTAATTTATCGCTTTCTTATAAACGATGGCTCCCTTGCAGATGCTTTTAAGCCAGAGAGTGCAGGAAATTGGTGCTGATACATGTAAAATGTGCTGCTTTACCAGCATGTCATGCACTTGCAGACAGCAATATGGCTTTTCACGTGGTGTAACTACCACAGGTTACTACATGCAAGAGCATGAACACAACAATTCTCCTGTCAATATGGGGAATGTGTATGTCACTGATTCTTCTCAGGTTGGGGGCAGCAGTGTCTTTAGACCAGTTCGTGTTCATGTTCGGGGACCTAATGATGGACTTGCGGGCATTGGGCGTGGAACTACAGTTGTGCCGGCAACCGCATGGCCTCCTACCCGTTTCGTCTTTTCTCGTGTGCCCTTCGGTGTAGGCAATAGAAATTGCCAGCAGTCTCTTCCAAATGTCGATTCGGAGAGTAGAACCAACCACAATGGGGACCTCTCTGGTGATGGGTTGACCGCTCTGGTTGGGCTGACCCAGGGAGGGAGCAGCAGTTCTAACATTCACAGTCAACAGACTGAGAGAGTATATGAGACAGATATGCAAGACAGGATATCTACTTCTGCACCAGGTGGCAGTGGTATAGCTTTTCAGGTGCTAGATTCACCTGAACATGCCATTGGAATTGAATGGGCGAATGCTAATGATTCCTCCATATCGTTGGATATGAACACACCTTTGAGTCATTTCCCTCCATTCCGGTTCGGGTGAGACCATTTAGTCCTTTGCTTATGATGTATAAGCCACTTCCCACGGTTGGGATTTAGTTTTATGAACATGAAAAAATGAATAATAGATATGGTTCACCGCTTTCCCCAGGGTTGAGTTTCCAGATGTGCTTCGTCTAACTGACGGTCAAGTGAAGCACTCTCCTGAATTCTTTTATGCAGGTTCTCTGTGGAAGGTAATAAGATACATACCGTCTGAATGCTTGTAAATTCCTTGTTTTTTTTTTTGGCTTCTTTGTGTTTCTTAGTTGCTGAAGTTTGTAAGCTTTCTGTTGTTTTACACAGATTAGTGTTCAAGCTTTCAATGATGAAGATCCTCAAGGGCGCCGAACTCTTGGTAATATGCTTGGGCCATGTCATAGTTCAATTGTGAAAAGTACATGTTACTATCTCTACCGTATTTGCTAATTGCTTAACATTTCAGGATTATTTCTTCATCGGCGAAAGGCAGAGATCTCTGATTCACTTAGGAAGGTTAGCAAAACTAATTAAATTTGCGAGTTATTGCAGCTGAACACAACTGATTAGTCATCCAACTTTGAAAGCATTTCGAAAACTGTCATTATGATGGTTCAAGTTTGTGATCCTTTTTTTTATGCATTGAATCCACACTGGTTTCAGGTTCATATGTATGTTGACACACGCGAAAAAGTTACTGCCCGTTATCAGGTAACTCTCCATGGACAATTTTTAACCATCTCTGCCAAGGAAAACTGCTGATTGAAAATTTCTTATTTCTACCTGCTGCTGTGGCTCCATTTCCCTTTTTGTTTCAGTTGATCTGTCCATCAAAGAGAGAAATCATGTTGTTTGGAAGCTTCAAACAAAGAGGCACCCTCCTCCCGAAGGCTCCCAAGGGATGGGGTTGGAGGACAGCTTTGTTCTTCGATGAACTCGCTGAGCTTCTGCAAAATGGGGCCTTAAGAATAGGTGCCGTAGTCCAGCTTGTATGAAACAGTAAAGGTAATCTGTCTGATACCTCTTTCTATAACACTGAGTCAATTAAATAAATGGGATACAAACATGGAGATTAAAGTATGAAATAGCTAACATAATAGACACTCTGAGAGCTATGTGACCCTTTTCATTATTAATTTGGGTGTGTTGACACACTATTCAGGGCAATAGACGAAAAACTTGAAGGTGATAGGACGACAAAGTAACTGTTTTGTTAATTAATCCAAACTCGTATGGCAAAATCGTAAAAGATTCAAAGTTTGAGTAACCAATCTGTTCATGACCCCAAAAATCTAACGGTACTTTATGTAAAATTGACACTGAAAAGTTGATTATCCTGAACACTACCTGATCGGCTATCAATTCTGCTCTAGCTGTTGCAGATGTGAAGAAGTGCACAGCCGACTAAACTCTCTCTTGTCTCGCCTTCAAGTTCATCGAAATGGATTCTCACCAGCTGAATCAAGGAATTCGTGTCGCCTATTGTGAATGTATGTTTTAGCAGAACTTTCCCAAATGAATAAGACTATGAAATATTACTGGAAGAATACACATTACATGTAGAGAGGGTTCGTTCTGTAAGATACATTGATATAAAAGAGGGTTAGAACTTAGAAGGAAGGAGTAAGAGCTCGGATTCACTGTCTGACCTCTGCATTGCTTCACAGTATATATGAATGAATGTTGGACTATGCAATTAGCATTAGATGGCTCTTGGAATATAAATTATCTCTACTTTCCCTGCAATTCTCCATCCAATCTTCATAAATTTTTGAATATTATAATCCATAAGGCAGCATCCTTAGTTCCAACTCAGACCCATGACTACTACTAATACTGTTGGTATTAGCAGAAACAAGAGTGTTTCTGCTAGAATAGCCACTAATGCCGCCACCACCATCATTGGCATTCAAGTCGAAATGCACTCCGCCGACTCCATCTTCCATATCCAACTTGAGATCATTCTCCTCATCTTCAAGTGCCCCAGATGATCTGTCCACGTGGAAGCTACTTTCCAAACTCGTGTGATGATGGTGCGGCTTTGTGTTAATGTACAGATGTTTCATACCATCAACTTCCTCTTCTTGCTGCTGCTGTAAGTCGCGGTGTTTCCTTTCCACTTCTGATGATGGCGAGTTCAAGTTGTGAATCAAGGTGGATAGGGCCAGATTGAAGTCGGTTAATTGGGCCCTCGCCACGTCCACATTGCCGCCACTGCCCGTTGTCATCGCCATGGTTAAGCTTTTCTGTGCTTTCTCCAGTATCCCTTGCAAGTACTTCCCTTGTGCCTCTATTCTCACCTGCAGCTTCTGTTGCACCTGCAATAGTTTTTGGGGGAAAATAGCTTTGAGCTGAATCACCAATCTTCCATTTTTCCTCCCTGTGGGAACCAGAACAAGCATACAACAGTTTTTTCTTCCTACCTCAAGCTGTTCTTGTAGTCTTTTCTGGACCTCTATCTGGGATTTCAATGCATCCGTGATCTGGAGCTCTCTGCTCCCAAAAACATTGAAAAACATTCAATCATCAGTTGCCCCTGGTAGAAGGGAAATGAGAACATGGGCTGGATCTGGACAAAGTCAACACATGTTTCTGTACATTAAGTGCATCTAGACTAAGCTAAAGTTCCTTCCTTCCACCAACCATTGCCAATATTCATAGATCTAAAGGGAATCTATTTCCTTAATTCAGCAACCCCACATCTTTCCTTCTCTCTCAATTTCTACAATTGCTTCGGGGTATTTCTTGCCGTGTGCAACTAGATTTTGTAGACTACTACTACTTCCATTTCCCATGAGGAGAACAAAAGAAGAAAGGACCCAACTAATAATGCAAGGATGATTAACATACTGACATACCCTGGTTCAGTAGCATCTCTGGACGAAATGGAAGAAGCGGTACTCGCTGCTCCACCACCGGCGGAATGGTTGCTGAAATGTATGTATGGAGAAGATCCTACAGACAAATCAACCACAACAAAGAAAAAGGAAAGAACTTTCTTTGAGATGACAAAGGAATTCATTTCGCTATTTCCTAAACGAATCAGGATTGAGAAGGGTACTAGACCACTAGTCCTGAGAAATTAAAAGATAAGCGGGCAGGCGTATACAAACCATTATGAGTATGAATCTCTCTGGTGCTCTGTTCGGGGCTGTCGCAGTGTTTCTTCGCATGTTGTCCCAGCCTGTACTTCTGCACACACAATTCATAGCATTGAAGTTATTGCCTAAATACCCAGAAGCGATTCATTCATTCAATCAATCAATGAATCGATCGATCTCAATGAAATTCTGTGATCACCTGTAAATGACTCTTCAAGTGGTACAATGTCAAACCTTTCAGCCCCATCAATCTCAAAACTGACTTGGGCGTCGCCTCTGTAATGAACAAAAGAAAACCCAAAAAACTTCCAAACTAAGTCAATGCTGAACCAAGAACAGATAGAAAAAGATGGGAGAAGAAAGTTGCAGTTGGGTTTACTTTCAGGGCCACCCAGCTTGGTAACAGCATCAACGAAACGATCGTGAAGATCCGCCGTCCACCTCAGCCGCGGCTTCGGGTCTCTTGTCATCACCACTCCATTCTCGTACGGGTACATCCCTCCGCCGCCGCCAAATGCTGCTCTGTCCATAATTGCCGGGCCCGGCCGCCGAGAAGTAAAGCTCTGTTCTTTTTCACCAGATCGGCGAATCGAGCTACCCTGCAACAACACGGTAATAATTGGTGGCCCCGAGCGCCGCAGCAGCCGGGAGAGGAATAGGAATCAGGGTCTCAGGAGGAATTGTTTGTTGCAAAAAAACAGAGGACAAGAGTAGAGTAGTAGTTGGGTTGCTTGCTGCATATTATAACAAGACAAAGACAAAGACGTACATACATCCATACAATATTTTAAGACAGCGACAGACAGTACAGCTTGGAGGAGGCGAAGCATCAAGCCGCAGAGTTCGCGTCGTTTTCCGGCCTCCCTACAGACCTCCATCTGCTCTCTCCTTATTTTATCTCTGTCCCCTATTTATATATTCTTCCAATCTCTAAATCGAATTGATTGAAAAAAGAAAGCTTGCAACTTCCCCCATATGCACTGTAGCACAAGTGGCGGAGGATATGGTGCGGGCGGCTACAGGTAGTAGGGTAGTGTACATTTTATCGCCCGCTTCTGATAGATCCAGAAACAGAGGAAGACTGGTGGAGCTCGTGGGAAGGATCCCAGTCCAATGACGAGGAGAGTATCTTGGACAGAATCATGAAAACCTGAGGCATCGATGGCCGAGCGTTGAGGTCGACCGACACGCATCCTTTGGCGAGCTGAGCCATGGAGAAGGCAAGATCCAAGGGGTACTCGTTGTTGTCGGCTAACGAAGGGTCGATGAAAGCTCGCAACTTTTCCCTTACGTTGTCACCTTCAAGAACCGTGTTGATCATTGTGAAGAGTAATTCGTCCCTCGAAGCAGCTTCCTTCCCTGACAAAAGCTCCAGTAGGACGACACCAAATGCGAAAACGTCGAGTTTTGGAGTAATGAGTCCGTTCTCTACGTACTCCGGAGCCATATACCCATATGTCCCAACGACGTGCCTTGTTAATGGTGATGCTCCTCCGTCTTCATTCTCATTCTCCTCAAATGCCGCGGCTCTGGCCAATCCAAAGTTCGTTACCTTGCCTCGCAAGTCAGCGTCCAAGAGGATGTTGCTCGTCTTCAAGTTCTTGTGGATGTAAGGAGGGTCGGCGTAGCTGTGGAGGTAGTTGATGGCTTCTGCAACGTCGTTCGCTATCTGAACCCTCTGTTTCCAGGTGAGTGTTTCTCGTTGTAGCAGCAGGTGCTGCTGCTTTGTCTTACTAGGGCCAAGAAAAATCCAGTCGGAGAGAGCACCATTCTCGGCATACTCATAAACAAGATAGGTGGTGCCATCATTGACGCAAAACCCAGAGAGGCGGATGATGTTGGAGTGACTAATTGTCTTCAGAATGTTAATCTCGGGAGATGCAGAGAGATCGCCTTTCATCACCTTCACCGCTGCAGCATCTCCATTAATGGATCCCTTGTAGACTGTGCCTTTAATCCTGTTAGATTCGCTGAAGTAATTGGTGGCCAACTCTAGATCATGGAACTTGTACAATGTCAATGCCTCAACAGAGTTTTTGATCCCTTGAGACAATGACCAAGCTGAACCGGACTCCGTCTCCCACTGTGGTGGTGGGGTACCCTTATTACCCTTTGTTTCTTCTTCCATTGCAGTGGTGGAGGAATGTATAGGCGGAGATTGCTTCTTCCGACGGACAAATTTCACAGCCAGGAGGGTTGCAATAAGTAATAAGAGAGCTAGTGTTGTTCCCACACCTACAAACACCCATTTCTTGCGGCTGGATCCACCGGCCGAAGGGAAGTGGCTAGTCTGATCAGTGGGCGTCAGGGGTGAAACAGGAGGAGGCGCAGCAGGGGGAGGGAGAAGAAGAAATGAGGTGTTTGGTTCACCAGACAAAGGAACCAAAAGCGGAGTGAAGGGGAAAATGACACTTTCTGAAGAGAGCTGGTTGGCATCAAGGATAGACTGTTGATCGACCCCGAAAAGCTCGGCAATGTAAGAGATGGAATCTCCCCAAGTGACAATGTAAGTGAGCAAGTACCTCGTCGTGGTGGCGGCAGCTGAAGTTCTACTGGTCTGGTTGGCGGTGGGGCAAGCACAGCGAAGTGGGACGCGGAGGGTCTCATTGACAGCTAGTTGGCGGTCATTGAAGGGATTTTGAGACATCAAGGACTGGCAAGTGGTGAGTCCCTGGTAAGTATTGTTGGCGACAGTGAAATAGGTCTCATCGTGGGACTTGAGTTTGTAGGTGGCTTCATGCTGGTAGTAGCGACGGCCAGAGCAGGAGCAGTTGACAGGGACGACGACAAGAGTGTCAGCTGGGATGGAGGAGAACTCGGAGGAGAGATTGTTGAGGGAGGCAATTTCAGGGGCAGTAGCAGCTAGGAGATATCCAATGTAGACAGGCGTGTTGTAAAGTGGAGATGTCCGGAAGGTGAGGTAGGATTGGCAGGACGTGTTGAGTCCATTGCAGACGTAGCCTAGGGTTGTTTCATTGAACCTCTGGTTGTAGCAATCGAGCTGGTGGTTGTCAACATAGGCTTGTTGCCCATCAGCTGCCCTGGTTATCAGCAGTACCAGCAGCAGCAGAAGCAACATTGCATTTGATCCCTGCAAATGAAATGGTCTGGCCATGTTGATTCTGGGTTTTCTGAACAAACTATAACCTCTAAAGTAGAATAAGTAGAAGACGTATGAGAGACGACGAAAGAGATGCAGTACATTAATCCCAAAAGATGCTTGGCTCCCTAAATGTTTTGTCTTCTGGGAAAGGCCATTTACAGATCCCCCAACAAGTAGCATGTTCCTGCCAGGAGGAGCATAACAACAAAAGGGTATCAACATATCGTAAATCAGGACAAGCAAGCCGCGCCAAATCAACCCATAATCGATTCATGGTAACCCACAACACTCAAAACACAAAAGGGTACAACAATTCTAGAACTACAAATTCTATAACTCATGGCATCCACTGAATCACTAAATCGAACTTCCGAATTCCATCCACAGGCCATCGCAGTCACCGAAGGGAGCCAATTGAAACAAACAATTGAAATTTGTGGCGAAGGTGAAGGGGAGAGCAAAACCTGAAGTTAGAGCTACGAGAGAGGATAAGGCGATAGGCGGAGCCCATAACCTCGGAGAAGTTGCCGGCACTGAAGCCCTCCATCTCAAAATTATCGGAGTGGAAACTGAGGTTACAATCCAGCGCCCGGAGCTCGCCGCTCGTCGTGCCATCGTCGGAGTACTGTCCCGCCGCCGGCGATGGGTGGATCGTCTCTTCCAATCGGTAGTGCGGCCACAACGAGCGAGGAGGAGGGTATTGCGGCTCCATTATTTTGCTGCTGCTTCCGATATCCTTCTCTGTTCTTGATCTTCAAAGTCCTGTGTGGCGGTTCTTCCATTAATTTGTAGTCGCCAAGTGCCGGAAAAAGCAGGTCGAAGGCTCGAAGCTTTTACACGGTTTTACGAGTTAGTCAAACTCCAAGTCAACTGGTGGATGTAAAACCAGAATAAAGAAAAGAAAAGGTCGCGGGAGACGACTCAGACCCCTTAAACGACGCCGTTTGCAGAACGGACCTGCGGTTCGCTAGGTTGTCTGACCTAACGACACCGTTTCGTCTTCGCTTCATTCTTCTCAATGCTTTCTTCCTTCTCCAAACGGCCTTCGACTCCCCGACGGCATTTCTCGGCGGCGGCAGCGGCGATATTTTCAGAAGTGAACGAAGTGGCTAGGCGGCAGTTTGGAGATGCGCTTGCCTCAATGTTGGCAAGGAAAGCAGGTTAATTTTTTAAGTTGATTTTATTTTCTTGCTTCAATCTTTTCATTCCCGTTTCATGGTTCTTCTTCCTTTGACGTCTCATTGTTGGAAGCTCTAAACTTTTTTCTTCTTTTTTTCGTTTTTTCTCCGGGTTCAGGAGCAGTCCTTGGGCGCAGCGTGAGCTGCTCTCGGGTTCTGATCAGTTCCAGGAGCTTCACGTCCTTGTCGTCTGATGGGTCCTCTCCGGAGCACGGCGGTAGTTTACCGGCGGCGGCTAACTACACGTTCAATCAAGAGCACTTCAGTAAGTATGATGGGTTTCGGCAGAATGTTGAGGAGGCATGCCGAATTGTGGAAGGTGGTCGATGGGGACCGGAGATTGAGAATGCACTGAACATGTTCGACGAAAAGCCTCAACCAGAATTAGTGATTGGAGTGCTGAGGAGGCTGAGGGATGTGAATCAAGCACTGAACTTTTTTCGTTGGGCGGAAGGTAAAAGTGACCACCCACTTTGTCCGGAAGCTTACAATTCACTTCTGATGGTTATGGCCAAAGCTAAGAACACTTATTGCCTGGAGCAGATTCTTGGAGAGATGAGCATTGCAGGGTTTGGTCCGAGTAATAGCTGTAGCGTTGAGTTAGTTGTGAGCTTTGTCAGAGTCCAGAAGCTGAGAGAGGCTTTTGATATCATACAAACTATGCGGAAGTTCAAATTCCGCCCTGCATTTTCTGCTTATACCACTCTGATTGGTGCGCTTGCTGCTATTCATGAATCTGGTCCCATGCTCGCTCTTTTTCAACAGATGCAAGAGCTGGGTTATGAAGTCAGCGTGCACTTGTTCACTACTCTCATTCGAGTGTTTGCTAGGGAGGGCCGTGTTGATGCTGCTCTATCACTATTAGATGAGATGAAGAGCAATTCTCTTGATGCTGACATTGTGTTGTACAATGTCTGCATAGATTCTTTTGGTAAGGTGGGTAAGGTGGATATGGCTTGGAAATTCTTCCATGAAATGAGTGCACATGGTTTGGTGCCTGACGATGTAACGTATACTAGCATGATAGGTGTTTTGTGTAAAGCCAATAGATTAGATGAAGCAGTGGAGATATTTGAGCATATGGATCAGAACAGGAAAGTCCCTTGCGTCTATGCTTACAATACCATGATTATGGGATACGGATCAGCTGGAAAATTCAATGAAGCATTCAATTTGATTGAGAGACAGAAGGAGAAGGGGTGCATTCCCAGTGTAATTGCTTATAATTGCATTATTACATGTCTTGGTCAGAGTGGACAGCTCGATGAAGCGTTTCGAACTTTTGAAGAGATGAAGAGAGATGCAGTTCCCAATGCTGCAACCTATAACATTCTGATCGACAGACTATGTAAAGCAGGGAAAGTCGAGGATGCTTTCAAGGTTCGGGACGCCATGGAAGAAGCTGGCATGTTCCCGAATGTGAGGACTGTGAACATAATGATCGATAGATTATGTAAAGCGCGAAGAGTCGATCAAGCTTATTTGATATTCAAAGGGATGGACCACAAAGTTTGTACTCCGGATGAGATTACATTTTGTTCACTTATAGATGGTTTGGGAAAGCAAGGGAGAGTAGATGATGCATACAGGCTTTATGAACAGATGCTGGATTCCTATGAAATGCCAACTGCTATTGTATACACGTCACTCATAAGGAACTTCTTTGAGTGTGGGAGGAAAGAGGATGGTCACAAGATATACAAAGAGATGCTAGAAAGAGGTTGTTCTCCTGACCTTGTGCTTCTCAATACCTACATGGATTGCGCTTTCAAAGCATGTGAAACTGAAAAGGGAAGAGCACTATTTGAGGAGATCAAGGCTAGAGGGCTTGTTCCAGATGTGAGAAGCTACTCTATCCTTATTCATGGCCTTATCAAAGCCGGGTTTGCACGTGAAACCTATGAATTGTTCTATGCAATGAAAGACCAAGGTTGTATCTTGGACACCCGTGCCTATAACACTGTCATTGACGGTTTTTGCAAGTCAGGTAAAGTGAATAAAGCTTACCAGCTACTTGATGAGATGAAGTCGAAAGGTCACCACCCAACCGTTGTCACCTATGGTTCTGTCATCGATGGCCTTTGCAAAATTGACAGGCTTGATGAAGCGTACATGCTGTTTGAAGAAGCAAGGTCAATTGGCATAGTCTTGAATGTTGTTATTTATAGTAGCCTTATTGATGGATTCGGGAAAGTGGGTAGAATTGATGAGGCATATCTAATCATGGAAGAGATGATGCAGAAAGGCTTGGCACCAACTGTTTACACCTGGAACTCCTTGCTTGATGCACTTGTGAAATCCGAGGAAATCGACGAGGCAGTGGTGTGTTTTCGGAACATGAAGGAGCTCAAATGCACTCCCAACCATATAACTTATAGCATCCTAATTAACGGTCTCTGCAAAATTAGGAAATTCAACAAGGCATTTGTGTACTGGCAAGAGATGCAGAAGCAAGGATTGAAACCAAATACCATCACTTACACTACCATGATCTCGGGGCTAGCTAAGGCTGGGAATATTTTGGAGGCAAAGAACCTCTTTGAGAGGTTCAAGGCAAATGGAGGGGTACCAGATTCTGCTAGTTACAATGCTATAATAGAAGGGTTAAGCATTGGAAATAGAGCTGTGGATGCATATGGGATATTCGAGGAAACCAGGATGAAAGGTTTCAACATCCATACCAAGACCTGTGTTGCCCTTTTGGATGCTCTGCACAAGGCAGAATGTCTAGAGCAGGCTGCCATCGTTGGGGCTGTCCTGCGAGAGACAGCAAAATCTCAACATGCTGCGAAACATTGGTAAGCTCGGAGCAAAAGAACTTATCTGCATCTCAGATGGCCCCGTTTACTTCCAGGACAAGGTATCTCTTTCGACACCATAATCTCATTTCCGGAAAATCTCAGCTTGCTCTCGTGGTCGATTATTTGAGCTACCCGTGTTTGGATTATATACCAGGTAGATAACTCTGAGAAGATGCAAAACATTCCCTAGTCCAAGAACCATGAACTGCAAGAACGCCAGAAACTGCAGGCATCTGCTTTCGGCAACTAGTGGTGCTAACGGATCCTTGAGACCTTAACAAGCTGATATACTTTGTTCAGCTCCCGGTATGAAATGCAGGTCTTCAAATACCTCAGACACCAGCCGGCATTTGGACACGCCATATGGATAGATGGATACCCTCTAGAATCTTCAGCAGATTCTGGCTAGGACACTTTGAAGACGAGATTATGCCATTGTGTAGAGAAGTTTTGATCCTTATAATTTTTCGTGCCATTAGTTACTTGTTGTAGTTTACAGAAAGAGAATGAAAGAGTGCGGTTAGATCATAAGCTGATAGGGTTACTACCGAAACTCAGAACTAGTAGCTTCCCTTTGGCAGAGGAAAATAACTGGATGACTATTTGCTTGATTCCGCCATATCTTCTTGTACTCCTTTTTACCAAATTGCCACTTGACAAAAGCAGGTGCATGTAACCCCGACTACAGAGGATCATTCCTGTAGCCCAGTAAGATTTATATTTGACCGTTACGATAAAGCAGCCCAACAACGTCTCTTTCAAAATTCGAATCCAAGTTTCCTTTTCTGTTGTCTTGTCGCCCACCGTTAAAATCTCATCATCGCAGCCACTTTTCGCTATCAAAGATCAGAACTTTTTTCTTCCATTCGAAAAAATCTTCTCTTTCGCAGATCAATCACTCGAGAACAACAACAATGGCATTAAGGCCCATCGACAACGCCCTGCCTGTGCCGCCACCGGAGAGACCAATGAAGCAACTCAAAGTCTCTGCCCCAGCCGCCCAGAAACAGCCTGAATCAAAAGCCAACGACGAAAACATGGCTCCACTGCAGCAGCAGCCGCCGGCTGGAGAAGCCTCGATTGATTACGTACCTTCCGAGCAACTTGTCGCCATTGACGATCCGGACTCTGAGATTCAAGTTTGTTCCTTTCTCTCTTTTCTAATTCTGGGTTACTCTGTTTTCGGCTCTCTGAGCATAACCCAGATTCCATCTTCATTTTGATTTTGGTTTCAGAGAATGGTTGAGGGTTTAGATTCAAAAGACTGGATTATGCTGTGCGCGTCGCTGAACAAGGCCAGGCAATTCGCAATCTTCCACTCCGAGCTCTTGCTTCCAAACTTGTAAGTAAAGATTATTCATTTTTCATATAAGGGGTACATGTCAATATGCCATTGATACGAGTAAAGAGAAGTTTTCACAAGCGAATTCCAAGTGGTCTTTTTTATTATTGATTGATTGGTGTGGATTTTCGTATTCAGGGAAAAGGCAATGTCAGTGGTGGTCAAGTCGATGAAGAACCCTAGAAGTGCTCTGATCAAGACTTCTATCATGGCTTCCTCTGATATATTCTCAGCCTATGGCGACAAGCTGCTTGATTCAACAACAGATGCATTTGACAGCTTGGTATGAACTTCAGTTCC